TGTGTGCCACAATCAGTAAATCAAGAAGAAATAAAAGCGGCTGCTGCCATTATTTCTGGGTTTTTCGAGGCTTTTTGGTGGTATTAAGTGAAGCTGTTGGTTGTTTTAGATGGGACATCCATCCCCAACTTGCTTAAACCACCAAAAGGCCTATTTCATAAAATAGAGGGAACCGAATTGTTTGACATCGGACCACTTTCTGAACAATTGGAAGGCTCTTTCCGAAAGTATTCCGCAGAAGCCGTATATGGTGCTTTAGATGCTATATTGAATCGGGGGGCCACAGTTACTCAAGCATCTTTTGATTATAATATTAAAAGGACTAGTTTACAGTTCTATTTGAAAAAGTTGAATATAAAATTTCGGAAGAATTAAAACTAAGTCTAGCTTTGGAGGTCGTTTTTTCATGCACCAATTGCCATGCATACTTCTATTCCCGATCAGTTTTGACGGAAAAATGTTAGGTTACTATAATTTCAACTCTAACCGACCTCTGAACGGAAATAAATGAAAAATAAAATCACATCTGACATCTGAATTCTAATTGATTTGAAGTTGCATTTTTGATGATGCTGGTATTAAAATACTACTTTTGTGAAGGAGGTAGACGCGTGGTCAAAATTGATGCAGGTGCATTACATACTGACCTGTCATGAACAGGTTTCATAACTTTCAGGGCAATACATTTTATTCTTGGCTGTCTTGAGCAGTGCTTTTTATTTTAACCTGCTCTTGAAGTTCAGTAGAGATCCAATCGGAAACATCAAACTAGGGTTGCCACCAAATAGTGATTCAGTCGATAGGAATTGTTGATTTTGAAGATCAAGATGAATGCATTTTGAAAAGTAATTGCTTTAATTGAATGAGTCTGTTTTTTCTGAGCCCTGCAAATGTTATCTCTGTGAAATGGTTTTATTGTTAATAATGAATAATGTTGTGATAGGCTGGTTTGGAAATGAATTTGGTGGTGTCATAAAACAACTGAGCATGGAAGAATTGATAAAATATGCTAATTTTGCTTTTTACCGTGAATAATAATTTTCTTTTGATATCTTTCTATAATTCGAATTTACAAATTTGTTGTGTGCGTATTTAGATAGAAGAAAAATCACTTGTTGGTATATTCTCTTGTAGGACAAGACCTAAGCCACAAATGTACTGGTTGGCCTAAATAAGTCGAGTTGGTTTCTTCAGATATAACTGTATATTATTGAATTTTCGAATTGAATTCAACGATCCGGGTTGATGAATACGTATCCTCATCAAACCTCCTATTGTTGAATTATTTGGATAAAATGATACACAGTGTACTATTTGAAGAAACATCTCGATTTTTCGTGCTACTTGGTATGTTTCTGATCTAGGTCGTTACTTACACAAGCTCAAACGTGTGATATTTTTTTAAAATTTATCAGACTTGGAATTTGGTTACGAACTTTATATCACACTATAATACAGGGTGATCGTGAAAGTGCACAATCCATTAATCACATATTCCTTGAAGCAAAAGTAATATGATTTTTTGTCGTTTTTTATTTTCGGCCTTCTTGTCTGATATGCAAGGCGTTGAAGTTTGAAATTTGAAGTTTTTTTCTCGAGTATTTGACACGATCGGTTTGATTTCGGTATTGACTCTACGTGATGAGTCTCATCTTTGGATCAAAATGATACAGAAAACAATTTGAAATGATCAAAATTGGTTGGTTTAGTACTAAATCACACCCTCTGTTTTTTAGTGCCTACTCCAGTGACTTCATACTCATTTTTGTTGAGATGATCCATCATTTTGGATCATCTACCATGAAATAATTTCGATGAAATTATTCATTTCAGAGATTACCTATTCCAATATTTGATGATCTCTACAATGCATCATTTAATCGACCTTTTTTTAAAGACAAAAATGAATGATTTTCTACTGCAGAGGTGCTGAAGGACAGGGTCAGTGGCTAGGTACAAACTCGCCCCTTTTCATCATCAAGATTTGCCAATTGTTTTTTGTTTCATTCTGCTCAAAACGTATTGTACCAAATTTAAATCCGATATCAATGAATCATATACTCGGGAAGTTCTGAAAATTGAAAACTTAAATTTTCATCTTTGTATATTGAACATGAAGACTTGTAATAAAAATGACCAAGATAAGTCATTTTGCATTTGTTCAAGGAGTGAATGGTTAACGGATTGACCTTGTTTAAAAGTTGTATGTATACCGAGTGAACCAGTGTATGCAATTATTAGAAGTTGTCTAGCTGTCATACGGGGTGTTCCAAACTCGATGGCCTTATTACAAGTTTCTGGAGAACGGAACATGGGATTGTTTTGAAAATTTGAAGTAATTAGTTTTGCTCAATCAATTTGGAATATTTTCAGCGCTGCGGCGTAACCTCATCTATCAGAAAGTAGCAACAACTATTTTATTGTATTTTCAAATTCTTCCAGAAGAGCTTCAAGTCTAGCGGGAATGATTACAGATATAGGGTGTGAAAAATCAAGATTTTTTACTTTCGGCATTTTTTGTGTCGAAACTAGTCATTATCTGTTGAAACTGCTTTCATGTCCCTGTCTTGACTTTCCATTTACTATCAATTGATATTTAATTGGAACAGATACAAGGTGACCAAATTTGAATTGTAAACCACCCTGTACTTGTTTGAATTGAATCTCAGTTAGTAAATCAAAAGTCAAGATAGGAACATGAAAGCCGTTTTGTACCAATAATGAATAGTTTCGACACCTAAAGTTATTGAACTTGAAAAATCTCGAATTTTCACACCCACTATCTTTGTAATCATTCCCGCTAGACCCCAAGTGTGATGATTGGTGAAATCCGCCCTCCAGTGAGATTCCAAAAATACAACAAAATACCCTGTGTTCCATTCGAAATAGCAAAGTTTTTACTACTTTTTGATAGAAAGCGCTGAAAATATTTTAGATCGATAGAGCAGAACTTTTTTACCCAAGAAATCAGATTTTCGAAATGATGTCCCGTTATCCAGAAACGTTCTGGCCATCGATTTTAGGACACCCTGTATATATATTTGATCCACTGTATCTCGAAAATGCTAACGGCTATTGACAATTATTTTCCAATCCACACTTGGATAGGTCCAATATGTTCAAAGGTGTGACAGCTGGAATATCCTAGTATTGAAATAAACAGGGTGTGTCTGATGCTCATTTATCTTTTTTGATACCACCAAACCAACTTATCTGAACTATTGTCAGAACATGAAAATAAGTGATGGACTCATTTCATGAAATAAGTTTTTCCTTAGAAACAATGATCTTTGAATGCTTCGTGCATATTTCTGAACATGGATTGGTTGATCGATAATAATAAAATAACTCCTTGATAAGTAATATTTCGATTATTTATCGTTGAAAATATAGCCTAGAATTGTTATATTATTGACCAGAATAATTTTGAAACCGTTTCATAGACAAGGAGCCCATAACATGTTTTAGTGTCTCATTTGGTCACACAGCAGTATAAAAACCTCCAAAATGCCACCTTTCACTACACGCTTATGAGCTCACCGAATAATGATCGTGGACCAAAGAGTGGGGGCCGCGTGGGTGAAGATTTATTAAAAGATCCGAGTTCTCGATTCATTAGTTACCGTGAGGCGTATGTCGCAAGTTACTGTAATTGAAAAAAAAAAAATTGAAGTGGACGGCATTGCCGAACGTGAAGGGTGGATACGATGCGCAGTGGCGCTGTATATATTATATTGTTAAAAAACCTTTTTAATTAAAAAATTATCATTTGGTGATGAATGAACTGATAATTCACAAAAAAATGGGAGATATGATCGTCGAACATTTTAGACAGATCGGGAGCTAACCACCCCCGCTTACTTTTGTCTTCCGGGTGCTTTTACGTATATCAATGTTCGGCTTTGATTCTATATTATTTTTTGATGAAATGGAAGCATTAATAATATAATATGCCGAATAAATCAATTGGATATTGACCTTCGTAGTCTTAAAAACCAATTTTTGTTAACAATATTGTCAGCATTCGTCGATGATGTTTTATGAATGATTCATAGTATAATAGACGTCATTATGTAAACCCCTAACAAAATGGACCTGTTTTATGAAACTAACAAAGAAAAAATACATTCTATGCTTATTTCGTTGTTTTGAAATTTGTTATGACGACGAATTGATTTTTTCTTTGCTATTTATATAGTACAGGTCCAATTCGGGGATTACAAAATGACATCTATTATACTATTAATTATCATTTAATACCATCCCCGAACGTAAACAAAGAATAACGATTTCAAGACTACGAAGGTCAATATCCAATTGAATTTTTCAGCATTATATTGTTTGTCTTTCCATTTTATTCAAAAATATTACAAAATCAATGATGAACGCCATACTCTACACCCTTGAGACACGGGGGACGGTTAGCCCCATCCAACCAAAATATTCGGCGATCATGATCATGTAGACTTGTAGTTTTTGTGAAAGATTAGTTGATTTCCCGAAAATTGACAGATAATAACTTTTGATTGAGGATGGTTTTTACAACCATATACAGCGCTGCTGCGCATTGTATCCACCCTTCGGCAATGCCACCACCCAAAACTCTTTTTTCAATTACAGTAACTTGCGACATACGCCGAACGGTAAGTAATGATTGAAGAACGGAGTTTTTTTTTACACCTTCGCCCACGCGGTCCCAGTCCTGTGGTCCACGATTTTTATTCGGCTAGCTCATATCCGGGTAGTGAAGGTGACATTTAAGGGGTTCTTATACCGTTGAGTGTGAACAAATGAATCACAAAAAACACTGTGTACTCCCGATCTATTAGTCGTTCTATCGGATTAATCCTGAATTACATTCATATGAAATTTGATGTAGTGGCGGCCCTACTTTGAATCAATTCAATAGAAATGAAATCGAAAATTTACCAAACCCGATTCCAATGTGGTTCTGTCAAACTGTTGGGTTCACGTTCCTCCCCCAATCGGGGCACTTGCAGGTTTCGGTGGCTGGCATATGGGTAATCAGAGTCAAGACGAAGTATTTTTGGCCGCGCAAGAGGCCGTAGGCGCTCACCGAGACTCACAAGGTAAGATTTTTGTTTCAATTGTAAAGGCATGCCTACTGTTCTGAAACATATCACGACAAGTTCGATGGGGGCTCTGATCGCGTGTCTATATTTTCTCTTCTTCGTATCATTTAATAACCTGAAAGATTTGACAAACGCATGTTCTCATCAGATATAATTTGAAGATTGTGATTGGTAACATATCAGCGGTTGAAAGTTTAGGTAGTGTCGTGTATTGTGCGATTCCTCATGAATCTCTATTCTGTGTTCATTTTTGTATTTCTTTGAATATCTTTGGTTTGTTTAGAGAAAGATTCATTTGAATAATAATAGAGTAACCAATGATAGTTAGTTGCTACCTTGAATGAATGGGCACTTCATGGTGATACTATCTTGCAGAAAATTACAGGCATTTTGTGTCAATATTGTACAAAATTTTATAACGTTCAGCATCTGGAAAAAGTTGACTTACTTTTGTCAACTAACCAATTTTCCTGATCTGAACTCTCAAAAGGAACTACAAAATTGTTCACAAAGTGACTGTAGTGACTGTAATATTGTGTTACTTACATGTGATCTATTTATTTCAAGTATGACCCTTTTCAAGACATTTTGTCACATTGATATTACAATGTGTACTTTTTTCAACTTGAGGAATATAGTTTCAATGACTACTTGAATAACTGGTTGGATAGTCGAAAAGAAGGTGTATAGAATTCGCATTGTAACTTTTGATTTGAAAGTTTCCTTACTTGTGGTAACGTTCAATTCCAAAGTTGCAGTCGATAATTTCATTAGGCCTTCCCTTTTCCACTATGACTACTTAATAACCAGTTATTTTTTCAATTGAGTTATTCTTAACTGTTATTCTTTATGTGAGAAAATACATGTTGTATTATTTCAATATGATGATGATGTTTCTTGGAAATATTTAGTTTGCACAACGAAAATTTTGTTTGAAATTGAATTTTTCTTGAAAATCAACTTTTGAAATTTGATTGAATGCAAAATTGAATGGGTTTTACATAATATGCGTACTACCCCAATTTTTTTTTCCGTTGATAATTACCTTGTACCATCTTTTGTTGAATTGTTCTGTCATTATTCGAATGCAATATTTTTTTGTCAAATTTATGGTTCCAAATGATGAATGAAAAGAGTGGATATTGGGGCGCGTAATGTGTTTCCATATATTATATTTTACAATTCCAAAGTGAACGAAGTGATGTATGCTGGTTCAGTGCAGTAGGCAAGCTTAATGCGCGCTTGTATATGGTACGGCAAAATATAACACCCGAGTCCAGTCTCTGGTTTAACATTTTTTTTCCTAACTTGGTAGCCTTGGTTCTATTGTTTGCTTTACACTTTTTTAGCTTGGTGTAGTGGCTTGTAGTTTTTAGTTTTTCCATACAACCTTCTCCCTCCATTAAACAATTCACGGTTTGTACAATTTGGAGGTTTATATATAAGTTATTATTTTGATTGAGTATCCAGTTCCATGATTATTCGATATTTTTATTCAATGATTGAAATTGCAGCTACATTTATACTGTTAAATGTCAGCCTTTCCAAATTTAAAATTGTTTTAAGCTGCATTGATCATGATGAATACGAAATTTATACTGCTAAGACATTTATACTGCTAAGTGTCGTTAATGTTTTTTAATTTGATAGCATTTATACTGCTAAATGCTCCTGTTCCTATGTCCAATCAAATAGTTCATTTCAGTATTTACTTTTTTCCTATAGATACAGGTTGACATCACAAGGTAAGAAGGGGGAGAACGGGATTGAAACCAAACTGTTTCCAGTACTCAAAAAATTTGTTCAATAGAGTAGTTGATACAATTGATTGTGGAATGAAGTAACATATTTCCTGTGAAGAATAATTACTGGTCAGTCGATGATTTCCTTTGGAAAACAATTTGGTTTTCAACTGGAGACTGAGGTCTCGGTGTTTCTCCCGCTTGTTACAGTTTTATTTTCTTTCAGATTTGTTGATAATTTAACAAAATTTTTTTATATCCTCCAAATTTTCGAAAATTTTGCCTTACCATTACAAGTGTTCTTGTTTGGGTTTTGTAATATGGGCCCGTGCAAGCGACGTTCAATAAGTTCTCAATCTAATTGAGTTGAAAATTCACTGTTAATGTTGAATTTCGCTTGGACGGTGTCTTTGTACTGTTGGCCTTCTATCTCATGTATTTTTCATTTTTTTTTCCGGTCTAACATGTATATTTTATGTGCATGCTTATATTTATTATAAATATGTACATTATTTGTTTGGCGATATGTCTAATTTTAGCCTTATTGCACATTTCATGTCAACTTGGAATCTATCATTAACTAATTATAGATTTCAAGCCCCAGTGGTGATGAAATGATTTGATAGATTGGGCTGTTGTTTAGCTACAAGCTATTGAGTTGTTTCATTACATTTGTTATTTTTTGTATTGCACGATTTCGTGCAGTACATTGAACACTGAGTTACATGCAATTGTCTGTAACTCGCAACTATTGTTTTTGAATTTTCAAAAGCAAAACTTATCATCGTGATTTTGTTTTTTCTGTTGACTCGAGGTTATTGATTCTAGCAATTGTGAATTTCATTTGCTTATTGAAATGCACGTTTGGTTGCTAGTTTGAATAATTTGTCACAAAAAATTTAAAATCCTTTCCGTTTACCAGATTTTCTGGTCAACGATGTTGTAAGGTAATAAATTCATTGATGAAAAAATGGTTGTAGCATTTGCTATTGCCATATTTTTTCCAATATTATTTTATGCTAATATTTTTTGCAGTGTACTTTCACTGCAGGAAATATTATACAATAATTACGAATTACGTTCAGTATATCGTGCGATCAAATGAACCACTCATTATTATAGGCCAAGAAAACAGAACTTGTCGTATTTACGACATGTGAATTGTTTTTTTGCCTAGTTTGATTATTTTATTTCATCACCCGATATACAAGTTCGAATGTTTCGTTTTTTGTAGCTGTTATCTCCAGCGAGGTACTTATTTTTGACAAGAGTATAGTTGTGCTTTTGAAAATGAGTAACATATTATGTTTGTCTGAATTCACTTTGATTTCAGATATTTTTCTAAATTCAACATCCTCTGTAGCTGTGTGTATATTAACACACAGCGAGGTAATTTTAATACTGTTGAAACCTTTCGGAAAAGTTTACTTCAAAAACTTGGCCATCCAGTACATTTTCGATTGTAAAGAATTTTACTTGAAATTATTTGCAATTGAAAATGTCCTGAATATACCAAATCAATGGACAGAACGTTTTGTTTTTGTAGCTGTAAACTTATGTTCACAGTGAGGTACTTTCATCAATTACCATACCATTTGCTTTAAGAAATGCAAATTGTAACTGTATATTGTTTATATGCAGTGAGGTATCATATTTCATCTGCTTTTTATAAATAACCTTCTGAAAATCATTATTGATTGTAGCTGTTTATTATTTATATGCAGCGAGGTATTCTAACTACGAATTAGCTACAGCGATCGATAAAACTGATGGCTGATGGTTTCCATCCATTCCATGTTATGTCATTGTAGCTGTGTATTTTTTATGCAGTGAGGTTCAACCATGAAAATTTGATGTTGGATGATTTTGATATTGAATATTATGGGTAGCTGTGTGATCTACACAGTGAGGTATTCAATGTGTGAATGAATCTATTGTAGCTGTGATACACAGTGAGGTATTCAATGTGTGAATGAATATATTGTAGCTGTGTCCTGACAGTGAGGTATTTCACAGTTTTAGGATTCTCGCGAGTCACGTGTTGGTTTTTATATTATTAACGAAACGTCAGTACAATTTTTTGTTTTCAAGATACAGTACTGACTTTTTGATGAAAATATAAAAATTGAAGCCGTTAAAATTCCACATGTTCTTTTTATGTTTTATTTGTACATATGAGGGTCGAGAATTATTTATTGTAACATCAACTGCATCTCAAGGAAAATATTGAAATGTATCAGATTTGAATGTTTTTTATTGTGTTGCATTTGCATTGTGCGGTAAATATATTTTCTTTCCTTCAATAATTTTTCAATTTTCATCATTCCAGCTTTATCTTTTGATACTTGGCTGAACAAACGTTGAAGTTTAATGGGACTTTTCAGTAACTTGAGTAGATGGCCAACAAAATAGTTGATCTCTTCCGTTTTGGCATTTTTCAATAGAAATTTGAGAAGTGCGATCATACAGTATGGTTCGTCAAAACATGATATACTTCATTATCGTGTTATGATGACAGTACCGGAAGGAACGGAGATTGAATATTTTGGATTGTACAGTCGTCTTCAGAGACTATGTCGCGATTAGATGGTGTTTGCTCTCTTATTGCAAAAGTGATAAAAAGTGCTATCACAGTCTATGTGCGACGTCTTCTCTGCTGAAGACAGTACATTTTCCTTACATCCAATATTATTTGTTTTGCAGTCCCATTGCCCTTCAATTGTTCGCGTTGCGGCAGAGCTTACTCTATACTTTATTCATTCCAAAGACATCTCAGATATGAATGTGGAGTCGACAAACAGTTTTCTTGTACTGTTTGCTGTAAAAAGTTTTCTCGTAGAGACATTCTGAGAGTTCACGAAAAAAAATGCAATCATCCTTCGAACGGATATCAAGATTGAATGTTTTACTTTTTGGCTTTGACAAGAAACAGCAGGTGTCATCACTTGATGGCATTTGCTGTTTTATAGTAAGCAGGCCGAGGGTTTCCCTAAAAAAGAAACGCTCGGACTGGGTGGCGGTGGGCAAAATTTAACTTCCTCTCAAAACACATTTCTCTTGATGAGAATCAAGAACGAAGAGTTCCTGGACCACCTGGATGATACAGCTGCGATATGGAGATCACGTCTGCAGAGAAAGTTTCCCACGAAATCTTCCCGATTCGTTCCTTATTTCCTGGTTCTTTACTTCCTGATCTTTTCCTTTTTCTTCTACATGAAGATTTTTGATGGCGCCTTCTCGTCGTGACATTTACTTCTGCCATTCCTCGTTTCATCAAGATTTATCATCCCTAGTTTCCTCTTCAACCATTCCTTCGTCGCAATGATGTTCCGGTGCCGACAACCTTCAATGTGAGTACCTTTGACACTTGAATTTATTGAGTACGTGCTGATGATATTTCAAACAAATTTGAAGAACAGCGAAGAAATTCCACTACAATACCTTCATGTTCTTCATTTGGTATTCTCTTGATCCTTTCACTAGAAGGGTAATGTATTCTTTGAAATATTAACAGCACGATATATTTACTGTGGGTGATCATTTCATTGATAGTTGAATCCATAGATTTTGTGATATATCATGTATCTATGATCGCCCACTCTACTGGGTGATTCACCATAAATGGTCACCTCCGATTTTCAACTTGGATTATTTCTGGATCTATTAGGGCATTCAAAAGTATTGAGAGTAATTTTTCAGCGAGATTTAATACGTACTTCTATCTTGCTGAAGAATTGTTGATGTGATTCTTTGAATTCCCGGAACGGTCACAATTATCCCAAGTATCAGAGGAAAGAGTACATGGAGGGTCACCCTGTATATTCGATTTTTTTGGGGGTTTTATTCAATGTTTCCTATTATAATGATAACGTTATCTTTTTCATGGAACTTCTCGTTTTTCGTAAAATTATAAACAACCATATTAATAGTGCGAATATTGTGGTTGTCGTATTTTATGAAATGTGTTCCGTTCAAATCTTCATCGATACTATGAAAAAAACTGATAATTTTATGTGATCGTGTACTATTTGTCTTTTTGCTTATGAATCACTACTCATTTACTTGATATGGTTTGTGTTTCACAAGCAATACGAAATCGATTATCGATCTTCGAATTCAGTTTTTTTTCAATATATTATGAATGAAGGTTTGAGGGATTCAACGGTGAGCAACCATGAAATATATCACGTTTAGTTATTGAAATTGTTGAATTCGACTCATTTGTGGCTGTTTGATAGGCGTTGCCTGTTATTTAACAGACGACGCGTATTGTACAAAAGCGTTTATTACAATTAGCACCTCTGAAAATAGAACTGAACGAGTGCCATTATAGGGCTGTTCCGTGGCTAGTTTCAGAAGTATCAAATTTCAATGAACTTCTCTCTAAAATGAGTCGAATTTTATGGTGAATTTGTTTATATTTCTTGTAACCCCCTGGTTTTTTTATAACCTCTCCCTGATTGTTTGTACCCAGTGTCCTTTGGGTTGACGCCAGCGATATAACTGTTGATATTCGGATTCCAGTATCAATATTCATTATGGCAGTTCACATTAAACATCTAATATCAGCTTCCTTCTTGTCACTCATTCATAGTGAATATTTTTCCGGAATTCGTAGTATTACCTTATAATATATCGCCGATGTCCAACCTCTACGGATACTTGGTACATGAACAGGATTTTCATGAATATTTCAAAGTTATTGAAAATTTAAGACACATGGAAATGAAAATCCTGTTGTTTCGAATATTTTTTCCTGTTGGGACATTTTAACATTATTTCGTTTCTGTTGTTGCAGACCGACCAATTCCTGCCCTTTCCCCTTTCTACGTGGACAAGTGAAGAATTTTAAAATAAATGAAATCTCTGTTGTTGAAAGAGTTAATATATGAATATTCTCAATTTCTGAGTTTTCTTCAGTGACCCTGTACCCTTTTCATAAACAGTTGAAACCTGGGCCTAAAAAAAAACAATGGAATTGAACATTGATATATAGTCGATCCGCGCGCTTGATTGTGGCATTCATTTTCATTGATAGTATGAGATGAAAAATAAGATGAACATAGTTTTTTATTTTTGTTTTGTAAAGTGGAAATAGCAGGAAGTAACTTGAGAAATGTCATTAGTAAAATTGAAAATACAAGCCCGGATCAACTATACAGCAATGTTTATTTCCAGGCGGGGAAAATTGGTATCTGCGACAAATCGATCCGGATTCTGCACATGGTTTTCCCTGCATCAACTGCGGGAAAATCTACAAACATCGAGGAAACATGCGCAGACACATGGTCTATGAATGTGGGAAAATGGCCCAATTCCAGTGTTCTTTCTGTGACAGGAAATTCCATCAACAGTCTAATTTGAAAAGACATTTCGAAAATAAGCATACTCTGTTACCTAAATTCAGTAAAAGCATTACGGTTTACCGTACCAGAACCGTATCTTAAATTCTAGTCAAACACAAGCTTCCTTTTGGAAATTTTATAGTTACCAGTCAGTTTTATTTTTTTATTACCAGTGAACTAAATCAAAAATCAAATCTGCGATCAACTTCTCCATCACTATTGAATTTGGTTTTGAAACAACTTATGTTTTGGAAATGATACAATTTTTGTTTGGCCTAACCGAAATCAACCAAGGATCTGTACAAATTTAAACTAGTCTAGTCGATGTTGTGTGCCATATTTTTAAGTATCATTAGATTTGGTCTCTAGTAGGTTAGGTTTTGAGTTCCTGATAAGTTGTAAATATGTACGAGAAAGAAAATACCAAAGAAATGTAAGCGACCAAAAATATATACCGAGGAATCATAAATCTTGTTTCCTTCTAAAAATTCATATAAATAATTAGGAAGGAAAAAACTCAATTTCTGTTTTTGATATACCTTCAAAAATTTTCTTGAGCTTTGGGAGCACTTTCATTTCATCTCTAGTCCAATTGCAAATTCCGGTCAATACTGACTCGTTGACGCTGTCGAAGAAGAACATTTTATAGACCAAAGGTGCAAAAGTATTTGTTCGTTAGGCTGGATTCTCTTTGAAGGTCCATCAATGGTAACTATCATCTCAAGTTTCCCAGAATCTCTCCTCAAAGAGCAATTTGTAAGTTCATTAAAACCTCGAAATATCAACAAGAATATGCTGCAGCAACTCCGAATTTAAGATTCATGAAGATGTTTTGACAAGTAATTTTGATCTTCTTTTGACCTATAATTAATTGCAGATGTCTCATTGTTGACAGGTTGTCCTTGTTGATATTTTATTGTTTATTTTATGAATCACTCAATTTATCTCGATAACTTTATTCTTTTTCTTGATTTTAATTTTATTTTATTTTTTTAAGATTTTGTTCAATTTGGAAATCATTACAAATGTGCGTCATTGCAAAAGAAGACTAAAATTATTTTGTTCAATTGGAAAGGCCAGGCATGACAAATTGCATAATCTCTGATTTGAGATTCTAACGGGAATTCTTATCCTTTTTGAAAAATCCTTGGGGTGAACATAGGCTTTGATTCTGATGAGATGAAGTTGTAACTACAGAGTTGTATTGGGGCATTCAAGTGGAGAAAGGCGATTGAAGGTAAGTGAATGTTTGAAAAATTTACAATGGATCGATTTACTCTGCAATAAGTTTTTGTCCATATTTCCAAAAACAAGTTGAAATTTCAATGGGTCGTAGGTGCCAAACGTCTGAGCAAATTCAGGAATTATTACCGGTGATAATTATATTCGAACTAAAAATGAAGAGTTGGGGAATTATGTGCCTAACCTCGAGGTTAATAATGCTTTGTTGGAAAATTGCTTTTTTCCCGTTTCGTTCTACACAACCATTTTTGACCAATTAATATCCGAATCCAGTTTTATCAACACATTCAAAAATTGATGGTTATAACCTCTTTCCAGATTTGAATCGCGCTGAAACCGCCAATGATTGATTATTCCGATTATTTTAAAATTGTAAAATTTGACCAATGAAACCATTTCAATCTCATTTTTGTTTCAAATAACTACAGGGTGGCTTGCATACAAGGTTGTGATAGTGCCCGTATCTCAAAAATTATGTTTTTCAACTAGTAATAATTTTGAGAAATAATTTGTAAAATATTAGCTATCCTACATTTCCGTTCACGTGACAAATCATTTTCTGGACAACTTCGTTCTTCATTGATGCCAATTAAGATGAATTTTTCTAAAATTTTTAATCATGCAACTAAAGATGAGATCATCATATCGTTGACTAAAATTGATTTACTTCATTGATGCATTGAGTTTCGATTTTTTTTTCCGATATTATTGTAAATCGTATAAATTTTATAAGCTCAACACAATCATTCCTATGGATTCTGTCAAATTCCATAAATTAGTTACTTTTCGATATCCGAGTTGAAATCAACTTCTATTCAAATCTTGAGACTTCCGTAAAAACTGATCATTGGATTCAGATTGAAAAGGTCTTGAGGTAATTGTGAAATTGAATGTCGAGTTAACGAGCAAAAATAATGGTGACAACTCAATTATTCCAAATTAACAAATTATGCAATGTTGGGCCACCTTGTATTTTATAACTGAAAATAATTCTCAGTGGATTTTGTGAAGGCTAGATAATAGGTACATCACTGCTAGATAGATGGTTCATTCTTCCCCATTGAAACTCGCGTAAATAGTACAGGGTGGCTGGATTTCGAGCCTCGTCATTGGCATCTCGTGATCTGTGAGAGATACAGGGTCTGTTTAATTATGGCAAAGTTGCGCAATTTTATGCCTATGAAAATGCCGTTTTGAAATTTGAAAAATTCCAGAAAAACTCCGAAGATTTGATAAAAGCTGAATATTCACGATTTCATTTTAATTTTGTTATTACTGACTAGACTACGCACTGTTTTACCACTAACCAAACCGATTTTCTACGCCTCGACACGTGTTTCGCTGACTATGTTAGCATCTTCAAGAGAAGATTAAAACTAAATGTTCTGTCCTAGTGTGCTACTTATATACTAGGTATCACCCAACCGTGAATGACACTATCCGTCAAGTTAATGTTAGTCATGGTTGAGTTCATATATCAACCTTAGTCTTATAACACCAAACTATACAGAGGGCTAATTGGGATGAGCCATTATCCTTATTCATCACTCTTTTCCTGAATATCTCGTAAGCTTCCATATGCATCTGATTTTCTAACGTTATTAACTTTTAACTAGTTTGAGGTTATAAATATGTGTGTTATGATTGTGATTGAACGTGTGTTCGGCTACAGACGATTTATCTAACCTATCGTATCATATTTCAAATGTGCTAAGTGTTCTTTGGACCTTGTTTTTATGGGTCGCCTCGCCTGGTTTGTCGTGAATGTTCTATCACAATCACAACTAATTGCGAATATACAGGGTGTATCTGAATAACACCGAAAAAATTCAAGGGGTGATTCTTTGTGATATTTTAGGAAATAAAGTTCATATAAACATGTATCCTTGCTTCTTGCTTCGTATTTCGAGATACAGGGTAATAATATTTCCATCAAAAATCTTTTTTGTATTCATTTCTCGATTGTCTTTTCATCAATTTCAATAAAACGTTTTGGTTTTAATCATAGTAATATGGAGCATCTTCTAGTGCAAGTAGATTCTGAATAATATTTCCAGTAGCGTCACAGTGGGTAAATTTATCGATAGTCATGGTGAATGTCATTGTACACCACCGGTTTTTCTGAGTTTCATAATTTTATTAGATCGAACTATTAATTGTAATAATAACTTTTTTATCCTCTGTGTGATATTTGTATCTAGCTAAGTTTTTGCGGAAACAATCATCCATACTGAATTTTGGCACCATGGAAGCTCATACAGGGGGGTTATACATAAAAACAATTAATACTTTTAACTTCAACATCCTGTATCTCAAAAATGGACCAAGTTAGGACACATGTTTATGTGAAATTTATTTGCTAGAATGTCACAAGGAAACACCACTTGAATTTTTTCGGTGTTATTTAGATATACCCTATGGTGTTTCAAATTTTCAAACCGACGTTTCGCCTTTGAGCTGCTATCAACATTGGTTTTTCAAATAAGGCACTAGATTTTCGACTATGGATTTTGAGAACTAAAAATCTCCTAAAATCATCGGTTTATCGCACTTTTTCATATTAATAGCATTTCACCCGTTGACTTTGGGATATCGAAAGCTTTTGAAATTCATGATGAAATATCCAGGGCCGTATGATTCCAAAACCCTATTTTGTGAATTCATAAAAAAACTGTATTTTGTTGGGCATAAAATTGCGGAACTGTCATAATTTAACCGACACTGTATCTCTCACGGTTTACGAGTCGAATTCCAGCCACCCTACCCAGTACACTTCCACTTCGTGAATCGAGTCAGCTAGACTAGAGCAACTGATGAGCCTTGGCAAGCCGAAACATGTTGTTTTGCATCAGCTGTCAACCGATACAGGAACATCCTAAGATTTCTTCGCCTTGAAATCTGCGTCTAGGTTTTGCATTTCCATTCGATCATATCTTATTACGAATTCTATAAATATCCAATGATATTCACAAGAGCAGATTAACTAGAAACTACGTTGTGAATCCGTTGTAGAAGCGGTTCATTTTGCACTACGTTTTTGAAAAGGAACCTGTCATTTCGATTTTCTAAAGTTCGTTAATGAATTTTTTCCACCACTAGTTGTAGAACATATTATTACTGCTGTTCAAGGCGTGAGGTGTGTTTTTACTTCTAAGGTAGTTTTTGTCATTTTTTTATGAACCACTGTCAATGAAGACATAGCCACACTAGTCAATGAAGACATATCCACCGCTGATATAATTAACCCGAATTCACTGTTCTTACGCGGGATTCACAAGAATGGCACTCGAATTATCAACAATGACATGATATCATGGCTACTAGATTTTAATCAGAATTGAAAATAAATGATAATGGGTCCACATTTCAGTTTCACAGAACTATAGTGATTGAAGGATCCTGGTAGTGGTTAAAAAATAATAATAAACAGCCTGGTAGCTAAAAGCCTCGGGATGTAATCTTGGTCACTGGGTAATACTGATATTCTTTAATACCTTGGTGTATAATAACTATTCCAAATTTTCAAAAGTCGGACATTTTTGTATTGTGAGGTTGGCTATAAAAGTTTTAACTTTCAAAATAGGCGCTACTGTCAAAATTATTGTACCTATTAAGCTTGCCATCTTGAGAGCAGGGACAACTTCTTGAATCCTTCGTTTTTCAAACTATTTGGGGACATCCATTAATTTTTGAGAACATATTCGTGAGCTCCATACCAAAACTAAATATAATTTGGAATTTTTTTATTCATCACGCTAGGACGCTGGGAGGATAAAAAAATGAATTGAAATATGTTCATTTCAAATCACATACTTCCTGCGCCATTTAAAATGGTGTCAGTTCATTGGTTTGACTGTTGTGACGTATTACTCCCAACACGCCTTTTGTCCTTGAGCTGACCATTCACACTGCAACACCACATCATCACTGCAGAACAGTGTTGCCAATGAGGCAGTCCAAAATTCTTCACGACGAAGTGGCAAATTCTCCGCCCATCAGAGATATCACAGAAAATTTTAGTTCTGCTGTGACACAATTCTGAAAATCGAATTTTCACCCTAATAAATGATCCGAAACAGTTATTCATGTTCCCTATTTGAAAAATTGTTTGGTCCTTGGTTCGATTAAAAAAATTAAACGAGTTAACCTCTTCTTGTTGGGTTCTAAAGTCATAGCGGTTTCCATTGGTGAAACTAGTACGCACTGAGGTATTGTATA